AGCAAGTGCAACAATCAGCTCCTCTCTACAGACGGACATAAAGTTGAGACCAGAGCTTCCAGCAGGTATCAGCTACTGGGACGACTGGATGAAGGAGACGTTTCTCTGACCATCCTCATCCTCACAGAGGAAGATGCTGGACGATACGGATGCAGGGCAGAGATACCTGGATGGTTCAATGATGAAAAGCATCATGTTGACTTGACAGTTGAAAGAGGTGAGAAAGATTTTCATGTTCTTAATGCAGCAGCTCTTCACAAAGAGCAACTGTGGGTTGATGTTGACTGTTAATGAAATTTATATTATCTTAAAATTCATACATTTTTGAGACTAAAGTTTAGTTTAACTTTGAGATGTTATCAGTGAAAAAGGAAAATATAAATAATTTCCTCTTCCCAAACAGTGACAGCAGCTGAAGTTTAGTTTTCCTGAGTGGTTAAAATTTATTACAGACTGATATCAGGTCTTACCTTTGGAACCTGAAGATGAGTTTATAGAGTTTATAGTTTTATCCTCCTGTTCAGTGTTGGTGAGGAAACATGATTCCCTGAACAGAACCACATCATTACCGTCCAGAACAAAACATCCATTCTTCATTTTTCCATCCAGGTTTCCCTGTAAACTTCAGAAACTGGTCTAAGTTATAAGTGTCCAGCTCTTGAGTTGTTGTCCTGTCAGCTTTAGTTGAGTCTCTGTTCCATCATGGTTCATTCAGACGGTCCAATACGTCCTCAACATGTCCAGAGGTTCTGCTGATGAACCATGGTTGGATTCAGGTTTGTTGACCCAAAGAAAGAACTGAAAGGTGCAGCAGGATAGCGGCTCTGGAGGACCGACTGTGGACACCATCAATAGTTTTAGTTCTTCAGATATTTGTTGGTTAAACTCCAGATACCTAAAACTCATCGATGAATCGAAACAGAGCAGAGAGACTAGCAGAGAATCACTTAGGTTTGATCTTTTTTACATTATTAACATTATTTTGGAGAGTTTTCTGAGATGTTTGAACATTGTGTCTCATATTGATCTATTAATTAACCGATGCTGATGCTGATGCTGTGTTTGTGTCCAGCTCCGACCACCTGGGCTCCATCAGAACCTCAGACGTCCTCAGAGAGACCAGCTGCTACTCAGACCACAGGTATCTGTGCAGGGAGGCAGCAGGGTCCAGGATGACTCAGTCTGATCAAAGTGTGAAAAATTAGATCTTGATCTCAAAACAGGAAGTTGGTTCTGAGAAGGAAACATCAGATCCTGTTGTTCTGTAATGTGTGACTCTCTCCTCTGTTGTCAAGCTGCTGATTCTGTTGTTCTAAAATCATCTCCTTTCACTTCCTCATCCAGCAGATCAGCTGACCACAGAGAGCCTCCTGACTTCCTCTTCTAACAGCAGCAGCTCCACAGACGAGGTTAGGACCATGAGGTCATCCTGAGAGACAACAACCAGAAAAAACAGTCAGAGTCACCCATTGTCTGATAGGTTCCAGTTAAACTCGTTTCTGCCTCTAGACCAGTGGTCATAATGATCTGCTCCTTTACCAACATGAGTTTAGAGTGAAATAATCGGTCTGGGTCGCCACAGAGGCAGATTTTATCACGTGTTCCAGTTTTAAACCAGAGCTGCTGGTTTTTCAACCAGAGGCGGTTCAGAACCACATCGACTATCTAGATCAGACTGACCGCCATGTTGGTCCAGTTCCTGTTGGACCTCAGCAAACCCATTAGATCTATAAACACAGGATCATCATCAGGCAGGACCAAAAGCTCCCGAACTCTCAGTTGTGTTGAAGCTCAGAGTTTGGAGATGATGATTCTCCTCTGGACTGATTGCGCTACCAAACTGATGCTAGTGTTAGCTAGCCTCCAGGTTTGTTTGTTGTGGCTGAAAACTGAAACTATGATGGAACTACAAACCCCATAATTCAGATAATTTATCCCGACTTTTTCCTGCTTCCACCTCAACCTCCTGAAAACGTCTTGCATCATCTACATCATGACGACATGATATTGGCTAGTGGACAGTTAGCTAACGGTTGTGTAACTGTCTATGTGCACTTGTTGTTGGGTGACCAAAGGTCAAAGTTTACATGGAAACACTGGAAAACACCAGCTGACAAAGCAGAGTGTGACTTTCTGAAGCTGTAATGCGGCGGTGGGAACACTTCACTAATGCATTAATAGCAGAGCTAAGGACTTTGCTTAACTTCCTCTAAATATCATATATGTATCACGCTTTAGCAATAGCTGAACTAATGTTTGTAAATAGTGGGTTTGGGTTAGCGCAGCTACCTTTTTCACTAACAGTGCCTACCACTGCTATAATGGAAGCAGTGGTAGTGTTTTTCATATTTCTTTTTGGTCATAAATTCATCTTAATAATTTATAGAAACTTGCAGAAACTCTTTGTTTAGCTCCATTTCTATCTGCTATGCTAACTGAGGGTTAGCGTGGAGCTCTTAGCGTTCTGATTGGTTGCTGCTGTCCTCAGCCCCGCCCCCAGATGCTGATGGAAGCGGTTCCTTCAGATCTCCAGTCTTGCTGCTTCTACATGCATGCTGCTCCCCCTGAATCAGAGTTCTGGTTCCGATGCGTTCTGCCGGTCCAGCTGTCGTAGAGCAGATGGTTCTAGAAGCAGCAGGAGGTCCGAGTTTGGTTCTGATCTGGTGACGCTTCATGGTTCTGTCTGCAGGGGCAGGAGGGCAGCATGGTGGCTGTGATTCTGGTGCTGGTTCTGTTCCTGCTGGTGGTTCTGCTCACTGCAGCCGGACTCTTCATCATGGGTGAGTTCACTGTGGCTGACTCAGCAGAAGTAAAAAGAAAAGTGTGAACATGTAGAGGAAACGATCAGAGCTATCTGCTCATTAGTTTATTTCAAACCTCACAGTCTTCAGCTGAAGCAGAACTCAGTCAACCACATCAACACCCAGAACCTCTTATGTAATCAACACGAGAAACAAACCGTTTATAGAAACGGGTCAAATTTTCACAACTAGACGAGTTCCTGGAGTCAGAAGTGAGGCTTTAGTTTTAGTTCGTTTTTAAAGTGTTTACTAGTTTTTATTAGTTAAATATTGTTTAGTTATAGTAGTAGTTTGTTTTTTCACACTTTGGTTGATTTTTAGGTGCAGAATTTAAAAAGGTGAAAGTATTGTGGTCATGTAAACATGGACCTGGTCATGAAAACTCAGCAGAAGAATCTATTTTCTAAAAATTAATTCAGTTTTTCTTGACCAACCAGCTGACTCCGGAGTTTTCTAGCAACTTCTGCTGCAGGCACTTTGTGGACTAGCATAACGTAGTGTAGCGTAGCATAGCGTAGCAAAGCATAATGTAGTGTAGCGTAGCATAGCATAGCGAAGCATAAGGTAGTGTAGCGTAGCATAGTGTAGCGAAGCATAACGTAGTGTAGCGTAGCATAGCGTAGTGAAGCATAACATAGTGTAACGTAGTGTAGCGTAGCATAGCGTAGCGAAGCCGCCTAGAGGAATACAGAAGCTGTAATTTATCGACAGCTGATTTAAACTCAAATATCACTAAAACTTAGCCTCTGAAAAGCTAATAAATAGATTCATAAACACAAAGGATATTACTGTACATCAATAATTTCAGAATGTTTTAGTTAGTTTTATAACAGTTCCAGTTAATTTTAGTTTTTTCCATTTTATTTATTTCAGTTAACAAAATGTTTAAGTTTTCATTATTTCGTTAGTTGAATTTGGTTATTAAAACTTGGTTCAGGGTTTGGGGTCAGTTGTTTTAGTTTTCCCTGTTTTTGAATCTGACGTGTTTTGATTCTTACATTTAATTAATTTTATAATCTGAAACCAACCAGATTAGCGTGAACTGTCAGAGGGTGTACTTTCTTTTTTATTACTGAATCAAACATTTTGGTGTTTTTAAAAATGTTTCTTATGTTTCTGTTTGCAGCCAAAAGATGGAAGCAGCTCAAACTGTGAGTCTTTGATTCTTCTGTTCATCTTTGCAAACTGTTTCTGTCACTAAGAGGTTAAAGGTCACCGTTAAACTGAACCGCTGATTCATTCATGACTCGGCATCATCGGCTTCTCCTGGAAACATTGATGCGTCTTCATCAGAGCATCGTCATCATCACCACTCGCCTCGGTGTTCAGAGTGAAACTCAGGGAGAACGCCTCAAACCTCACCGCAGGTTTCAAGCCGTTTAACTCCCATGATGCAACGCGGCCTTCAAGTTCACAGTCCGAACTAAAACAGTCTGAGCTAAAACAATAGAACTGTCCGACGGTTTCTGGTCAGGCGGTTCTGCCAGCGGTTTAACCCATTAATTACTGCCTGGATTCATCAGATAAACCAGTTTGTTCTGATTTCCACCGCTCAGCCTTTAATACGCAGAGTATTTCATATTTTACTAGTTAATGCAGCTGGAAACAACTCATCTCTGCAGCTTTAATATTGAGACCCTTTAACAAGTGTCAACTCTGAGTCAGATTTCCTTTTTCACAAGAAAGCGAAACCTGAGCGTTTTTCTCTGACTCATGTCATCCTGTCGGCGTTCAGCTGATGCAAACAGTTTCAAATGTCACGGTTCAAACGTTACGATGAGAGCCAAACATCACGAGACCACCGGGGAGACGAAGAGCTAACCGCAGGGCGACAACAAGCTGCAGAAGAAGAAGAGACGACCTTTAATGTTCCACTCAGCCACACACTGACCCACATCTGCACGTTTAAAGGAGCATTTCTCTCTAAAACACCCGATTCACCACAGCAGGAGTTTAACTCAATTATTTCAGGTATTAGATTAGAGCAGAAGAATAAACTAGTTAAAATTATTTACTTCATTTAATTCTGATGATTTTAGCTCAGAGAAAAAAAAAACATAAAAATATGACCAATAAAAATAAAGTAAGTAAATCTGACCACCTCAAAGTTTTCATTTAACTCTCATTGCTTTAAAAATAATAATCCACAAAAAGCAGTGTCATTAATTTTTTACCTTTAATATGCAGAATATTCCACTGTATTTATTTTTAGAAAATATAAAATATTTTGTACAAAACAGCCAGAAAAACATAGAAGAGGTTTAAAGATGTTGATTTTATTTCTACATTTGGGTGTGAAGGTGCTGAAAAGATTCAAAGTGAAACTTTTATTGTCGTTTAACCTGAAATGTAAAAAGTTGAGTCAGTTTAAATGTGCTTTGATGGTTAATTTATGTCAGGAATTAAGTTCAGAGCGATGTGAACTGATTCCTGTAGCTTTAGTGGTTATGAAGCTCAGTGGGTTCTGCTTCATCAGCTGGTTCTGGTTCTGGTTCTGGTCCAGGCCTCCCCAGCAGCAGCAGCGACACCAGGTCCAGATCAGCTCCACCTCCTCCACCCTGCAGCTGCACCAGCGGGCCTCCGTTGTGGAGAACGTCTACCAGATAGACGGAGCCGACAACGGGGGAGGAGACTATGAGTTATGCCCATGAGGCCCCGCCCACTTCCAGCGTCGCCACGGAGACAGGGAACATAATGGGAGCCGTCCAATCAGAGCTCAGCTGGCAGGTTGATGTTCAGGTCAGAAGGTCAAGTTAGAGGATGAAGAAACTCCTGGAAGCTATTATCATCATCGTCATCATTATTATTATTATTATTATTGTTATTGTTGCTAATGTCTGACATGAAGCTGATTCAGGTTTTAAATGTTTAAAACGAGGATTAATGAATCATTTTTAACCATCTGAGTTGCGTGTCTGACGGCGATGCTAAACAGTGAAAAGCTTATGAATCAAAACACCTGGAAGGTCAGAGGTCACCGACTGGAATGACATCATTAGAGAAGAAACGTCCTGCTGGAAACCGATGAACTCTGTGGGGAAACAGAAAACCCGATGGAACGACCAGCTGGTCCAGATCTCTGCTGGATCAGAACCGGTTCTGGTTTGTGGGGGAACCCAGAGGTTCTGGTTCTGGTTCTCCTGGCTCCTCTAAGAAGCAGGTCTAACCAGTCGGCTGCCGTTCTTACAAAGCATGTTGTTGTTGTTTTTCTGTTTGTGAGAAGTTTGTGATTTTGTTTCTGTGTTTATAGAAATAAACTTTACTAATTAATTTCTGCCTGGAAACCTGAGAAACTATTTGTCCATGAAATCCACTGAAAACGTTTTACTGCAGATCATGAACACAGAGTCTGGCTGAAGGCTGAGGCTCATAGTTAATTTTAATCCCAGTGTGAAGTCAGATTAAAGTGTTTCTGTATTTTAACATCCGTTTCTTTGATGTTTCGTTTCATTTTTGTTTTTTTTCTCTGTCGTTTTGTGAATCCGTCTGGTTTCCTGTAGAAATAAAACCTGACGGTTTCTCTCCACAGTCACCTGCCCTCATTTGAGACGTTGAATGTGAATCAACAACAATAACCTGGAATATAATCCATATAATCCCTCCCTAATCTGCTCCTCTAAAGCTGAGCTGGGAGTCAGACTGTCTGGATACCTTTGTTTTCTTCCTACCTTAAAATAAGCATATTTAACAACTCAATAAAATCTGTTGAAATTCACTTTTTTTCTTATTTGTGCTTAAAGTTGAAGCCTGAAAAATGAATCCAGCACTGAGACGGTTTTAGACAAAATAATGCAGAACTGAATAAATTTACAGGAAAATGACAAAATTCATAAAAAAAAAAAAAAAAACTAATTATATAATTTATCCGCAAAAAAAAAAGAAAACTGATTTAAGTTTTAGTTACACTTCAAAAAGTGAATCCAAGGAGTTAGTATTTGTTAAAAAGATTAAAGTAAAAATTATATAATTAGACAAGACAGTCCAAATTCTGGTGTCGTTAACACTAAAATTATTCTAAAATTTATATAAAACTTTTGAAACTACTATGGCAGATAATCTAAAGTACTTAGTGAATTTTCACTTGCTCTCCAAATGTCTCAGCAGGTAGAAAATAACAGATCAATTCATAATGCTGAAAAGTAAACGGTACGTTTTAGTACAGTGAGTTTTTCCTGAAGTTAAAGTGAGTATCTGGTACCCGGCTGGTCCCAGGGTGTCGGGTGACTCAGGCGGTGAATCAGAACCAGAGGAAAGAAAAGCCGACCCAGAAACGTTTCCAGTTCAGCGTGACGGCAGCAGATACCGTCTGATTGTCTATGAAATCATGTTCCTCTCATATTTACTCGCATGTCGTTTCATTCTTCACGTCTTCTCCTCCCAGGCGCCTCCAGCTGTCTGCTTTACTCTCCGTTTCCAGATATAACGTTACAGGCTCCATTATTTCTCTGTTGTTTACAACATAAAGGCTCCCAGGAGACAAAAATTCAGCTGAAAACAAAATCTATTGAGCTTCTCCTGGACGCGTTAAAAAGCTAAGATAAAACATTTTATCTACTGCGTATCGATTAACATACTGAGAACAGGAGAAACCCTAAAACAAAACCCTGAGGAACGCCGCGTGAAGGACTGNCAGANTCTGATTCATATAACAATGAAATCTAGACCGGTTATCGACTGATTAATTACAAATCATGTTCAAGTAAAAAGAAATTGTCGTTTTTAAATTCAGAGGAATCTGAAATTTTCAAAACACGACATTCTTAAAAATCACATTTAATCTGTTTTATCACATATTAAAGGCTGAGAGAAAACCAGAGAAACGAGAAAGTGAAACTTTTTTATACAGTTTTATACAATTAAACTTATTTAAAACATATTAATGATTGCAGAAAAATGTTACATTAGTTTAATATTTAACTCCTACCAGCCTTGCATTGATTTGTGATTGATTAGAGCGCAAACCAGCAGACCAAGCAGCAGCTGGAGCAGCTCCAGTTTCACACCAGAACCACCACTGGTCTGTGTGGGTCTCACTGGTGGCATTGGTGGTGCTGGTAGTAATGGTGGATTGTTGCACAAACTGGTCCCACAGCAGCTCAGTCTGCTGATGTGGAGAGGAACACCGTCTTCCTGGAACAGGCGACCGAGGTCGGCGTCACACAGGTTCTGAGTCATGCAGCCCAAAAATGGATACGTGTGGTTGTCTATATTCACTGTGGAGAGAAAAACCAGAACTGATCAATCAGATCAACCGATATTCAGGAACTGCTGGGACTAATCGATCAGAACAACTGATGTCCAGGACCCACTGGGAGGGAAACCCAGCTGCTCTCAGTTTGGTCCAGGATCTGCTGATCATGTGATCTATCTGCGTCTGGATGAAGGACAAAACCTCTGGGACAATTTATTCTGGACAGATGAGTCCAGAATGGAGATGTTGGACCATGATGGACAGAACCAAACACCCCATAGTGGCACTGCTAACTAAACAGCTGCCTGCGCTAACCCCAAAGGATTAATCATGTACATTAGTTTACCTAACACTAATGCTAACATGGTATTTAGCATAAGCTAATGTTAAAGCGCTAAATTCAACCATGTTCATACCACCATGTCTGAATGGGTTAGAGTTTTGAACTTTATTCATCTCAAAGTTTACAAAACACCCAACACTTTAACTGGAGAAATTAGTTGAGAAGCTAAGGCAGCTAAGCTAAAAATTAGCTAATCTGCTAGTGGATTTGTGCTCTGATGCCAACTATCAAGTATGGTGGAGGAGGTGTGATGGTTGGGTTTGTTCTGTGGCCATAGAACCTGGACGGCTTGGCGTCATTGATTGGACCAGGAGTCCAACATGAGTCCAGGTGTCCAACAGATAAAACTGGGTCATAAACAAACCCAGCAGCTGATCTACAGCAGAACAGCTGAAATTATTCCTGGTCCAGTTAAAGTTCAGACCTGTGCCTGACAGAACCAAGGGACCTACAGGTAGCTAAGCAGATATCCACCACATGAGGCTGCTGAGGTTAGACAGAAACCTTCTGCTGGACCAGGGGGTGTACTTAGTTTGACATCAGGTTGTTCCTCTCTGTGAATCGTTCAGCTGCGACCAGCAGAAACTCACAGGTTGATGTGAAGCACTGACTCTCCTCTCCTGAGCAGCTGACCTCTCTGCAGTCAGCGGGGTCACAGGAGAAACACTGCAGGGTGTTTGGCACCGGAGGAGCAGGGCCTGAAACGAGACGGAGAGAACGTCTCAGGGGAAAAGAAACCTGGACCAGAACCGACTTTAACGTGTCATTATGGATCTCACCAGGCAGAGTTGGGTTGTTGCAGTCGCTGGTGTTGCAGCACAGAGCAGATCCTACAATGGTCACCTCACCTGTGCTGAGTGAAAAGGTTGTATTGCCTGAGCTCAGACACATAGAGGATTCACAGCCTTTATAGATGAGCTCCTGTTCTCCTGAAGCTGAATCAACTGTAGAATCAAAGAGCTGTTAGAGTCGATGGAAACCAAGCAGAAGCTCATTTCATTATGGAGGAAGACCAAGAGGACGTTACCTCGGATAGATGCTGTCATGCACATTAGCTCAGATGAATAGCATGTCTGTTTTTCTGGGCTGGAACAAATCGGGTCTGTGCAGTTATAACAGCTCAGAGCTTCAGCTGCAATCAGGAGAGGAAGATCCAGAGACACGCTGTCAACCAGTGATGCACACCCCTAGTCAAAAAGTTAGCTGCACTAATGCAAAAGCATTAACTGTAAAGTAAACATTGGTTCCACTAACCTTAAAGGACTATACCAACACAGTACTAAGAGGAAGCTAATGTTAATGCACTGCACCAACACATTTAACACAGAGTTCCAATTCTCTGAGTTGAGGTCAAGACGTAAACCATAAACCGATTCATCATCTGTTTCAGTGTTTTTTCTGATTATTCCTTCTGAAAACCCAATAGCGAAACATCACATACTGACCGTATCATGGTGGACACATTCTGCTTTGATGCAGTAATTCATGCAAAAGGAGCCCGGACCAAGTGCTGAAAGCAGGTACATTTCTGGTGGAGTACCAGCGGACCAACAGAACCAGCCCCAGATAGAACACGACATTAAATCAACGTTGAATTATAGTTAGAATTGTTGATTTTTGGTTGAAGTCGACAAATGATGGTGGATCAACCATCAAACAACCATCTAATCAAACCGTTGAAACTGTGTCATTGAATCAATGTTGTTTTGTGGTTGAAATCTAGTGAATGAAATGCTGAGGTCTGATCAATGTCTGATCAATGTTGAATCAATGTCAGCTGTTTTTCCACACCCTTCTTCCCCTCCTCTCCTCCTCATCAGAGCTCTGGGTGAGAGTATTTTATTACTGAGTGGGGGTTCTCACATTTAAATTAAGCTCTGTAGAAGATAGTGGGTGATGATTCCTTTCTGTACATTTTTTTACTTGTTAATAAAAATTCTTACTGACTGTTTGTCTGTGATATATTGACACGAAAACATCTACAGCTTACTACAAGGAGTGGAGCGGTCCACCCCTGCTATTTACATGAGTGGATGTCAAACCAGAGTCAAACTGGGGTTACCACAACTTGTACTGTTTCCCTGGTTCTTACAGTACAAAGCTTAACCTCATGAACTCTGTTCTTCTGTGGACAACAGACTGTTGTTTTGACAGTCAAAAAGGAGTCAAATATGTTTAAAGATCTGTCCCTTTTTTCTTAAATAAAATGTTAAATCAAACCCATGTTGTCATTTTTAACCTTCTGTACACAGCTTACCCATCATCTGCCAATAATATAGTGTGTTTAACACCAGTGAAGAAACTTTTAGTGGCATGTTATGCTGTAGACCTATCAGACCTAAAAATGTACATAAATCCTTAACTTTCATTCAATATAAAATCAACCCAAATCTGCATGTAGATCCACGTTCAGTTGATGGTTGAATCAACGATTCCTAACTGATTCAATGTAGAATCAACACAAATATGCAGATGATGGTTGAACCAACATTGATGGTTGAAACCCTAACGTTGATTCAACATACAGGTGACTGACCACTTTCAACGTTGTTTCAATGTTTCTGGCTGACATTGATTCAATATTGTTTCAATCATTCTGTGCTACCTGGGGCCTGACAAGTTTCCACCAGTCGTTGTAGTAAAGTGATGGAAAACAACCAATCAAGCATTCCTTAACTTTTTAAAGGAAGTTCAGAACCAAAAACTCTAAATATTCCTAAAATTATTCACAGCCCTGCAGATTCAGAGTTAAAATAAAATAAAATAAAAACATTACATATGGTTATAATGCTTTTGACTAAAGATAATTATGTTTTTAATTTGATTTTGTATTTTTTTTTAATTATATGCCAGAAATCATTTATGTCCTTTGCAATAATAAATGGAAATATATCACTATGAACATTACAGTAAAATAAACTTTTCTTCTGGTTTTTCTGCCTAATCTTGGACCGCTCCAGAACCTTAATATTCCCTCCAGTCAGCAGAAACCTGCTGGTTTCTGGGACCCTTCAGTTCTGTTCTGACTGATCCAAAATGATCCAGATGAGCAGAGAATGCGTTCGTCTCTCCCTGGTGAATCAATTCTGACCTGAACATGTTCTGATGTGATTACCTGTTCTACAGAGGGTCCAGATCAGAGTCAGAGAACCGATCAGCTTCATCCTGATGTTCCGCTGGATTCTGGAACCAAACACACAGTCTGAGCTGCATTTATATCCAGGACAGAATCGCGTCACTGACCCAAAACAAAAGCAGCACTGGATTGTTGGCCCGGGTCAGCTGGTTCTCCTCCTGGGCTAAAACCAGAAACCAGATGGATCTCCTTTTACTGGATTCATCATGTTTCATATTCCTTTTATGTCCATTTACTCACATGTCATTTCCTTCTTCTTCTTCTCTCTTGGTGTCTTTATCTGCCTCCATTGTTCTTCACATCCAGGCTCCCAGGAGGAATCCTGGAGGACATCAGGGAGCCAAAAATGGGACACGAACTTTAGAAACGATAAAAGATACGGAGCGCCGTTTACAAAGTTACCAAAGAGCCAAAAATGAACAGCAATAACCTGGATTGTTTACTCTCAGAAGAGAAGGAATGGGTTTCAGTAAGCCACATTTCCATCAAGTTATATAATCATTTATAAATGTTACAGTTTCAAACACAATGTTTAGTTAGCAACATGTAGTTTGGAGCAAATATTAGGTTAGAAAGCTAATTATTTAGCTACAAATTAAATATTTAGTCAGCTACCACGCTAAATTGTTTGTAAACTAAATCTTTAGCTTGCTAATTAAATATTTAGTTTGAAACCTTTTGTTTGAAACCTTTGAAATATGTAAAACATATTTCCTTTTTAGCTAAATAACTAAATGTGTTGCTGTTAATTTTTGACAGTTGAACTTTATAAACTGTTACGGATCTGTTTTTAGGAACTCACTGCCCAGCGGGGACACACGGGTTTAGACGATGGACATTTTTCTAGAAAAGCTAAAACCACGACTGAAGCTCCAGATCCAACAGAACTAGTTTCATGACGCAACCAAACCAGATTTTTCTATGTTTCATCTAAATGATGTGGGATCGTCAGATCTGCTCCTCCCTGGACTGGTTTCACTGGACCGACTGGACCCAGAGGAAGGGATTGAATATCTGTTTGCATTCAGGATCACTTGATTCATTATAATGAATCAGTGGTTCTGGATGAGTCAGGATGACAGATTCACCTGAGACGAATGAAGTGGCCAACTCAGGAGGAAACCAGTAGAACGCGCCCATCAGGTTCACCACCTGCGGCCCTGCTCTGTCCAATCAGAGCGCTCCGTCCAGCCACTCTCAGGTGAGCTTCCTCAGCGTTCAGAGCAGATCCTCCCTGTTAGCTGCTGAGGTGAGATCCTGCTGCAGGATGAGCTGGACCGTCTCCACGCTGCCGCAGAGCACCGTGCTGGTTTCCTCTGAGGAGGGCGACTGGTCCACCGGGATCTGCGACTGCTGCCAAGACAAGAAGCAATGTACGTACGCAGCATACACTAACAAGTCTTGAAGGAGAGAGAATAAAACTAACCCAAACCGCGCTGTGAAACATGGTGGTAGCAGTGTTATGCTGTGGGACCTGTTGGAGGCTGCAGACCTGAGAAAGAGGTCAAAGTTCAGCTTCCAGCAGTACCACAACCCAAACATCTAGTCAGAGTTATTATGAGAAGGCAGATTCATGGGTTAGAATGACCTAGTCAAATCCAACAGAGAATCTGTGATAAGATGTTTAGTAGTGAAGGTCCAGACCGTCAGCGCCTCCTTGTGGTCCTCAGGCTGCTTCGCCTTCTGGTGCGGCCCCTGCTTCGCCTGTCGGACCACCAGGGAGTTCGGCCAGTGCCTGTGCCTCCCCCTGCTGGACGCCCTGGGCTGCGTCCATCCAATCGCCATGTCCATCAGGGTGTCGCTGCGCCAGCGCTACGGCATCAGAGTAAGGACAAAAAGCTGCTGCTCAGTTTCTGTTCCTGATTAATTTAATAAAATATTTTACTGATTCTAAATATTAACATTAACGGCTCAGAAAATTAACATAAAAATCTGATAAATTGGTCAAGAAAACAGATTTTTCATCTCTAGTTTGTTTCTTTGTTGAATTTAATTTGAATTATTGAATTAGCTGCTTATTTAAACATTATTTAATAATAATAATAATAATAATAATAATAATAATAATAATAATAATAATAATAATGTTTGTTATTATTATTGCTCTGGTTCTGGTTGAACCCTCTCTGATTGGTTCTGGTTCTGGTCGTGTTCAGGGCAGCCTGTGCAGAGACTGCTTGTGCTCCACCTTCTGCCTTCCCTGCGTTTGGTGCCAGATGGCCACAGAGATGGAGAAGAGGAAACTCCCGACTGTTCTCAGTGACATCATCAGCAGACGATGATTTCATCAACAGACGATGGCGTCATCAGCAGTCGCCTTTGATGAATCATTTCAACCATAGACATGAATACATACGATTTAAACATGTTTAATTGATTTAAGGTCCTCCTGTTTGAATATTCTCATATTTATTCAGTTTGTTTCCATTTTTATTTAATGTTTTGATGTTAACCCTTAAACTGTGTGGAAATGCTTCATATAAAGATTATACATCACAACATTTTACAGCTGTTTATTATTTATCTTTATTTCCTTATGAAAAGATGATAAATGTATAATAGAAACATGCAAGTGGACCATAACGGATCCAAAAGCTTCATAGAATATTTCCTAGGAGACGTAACACAGAGGCACCCTGACCAGGAAGTTAAAAACTTCATTCAGCAGAGAAAGACTGCTGGATTAAAACTGTGATTAATGAAAAAGAAAATATTCAGATAAAATGAAGCAGAACCAGAATACTAGTACTGGAAAACCATCTGGGATTTCTAAATATAAAATCAGTTTCACCAAACGAAAGAATGTAATTTTTTTAAAAATAAGAAAACAGACAAATTACTCTTATACCTCTAATAAAAAGCAAAAATGAAGAACAATTTAAAGTTTTATTGAAGGATCTCAGACCGAATCTAATTTAAAAATCAGACTAAAATATTTTTGATAAATGCTCAATAAAACTTTAGTTTTACTTTATTTTTCTATTTTAAAAACGTCCACTCAGCCGTCAATATATTGTAACAGAGCAGAATATAACATATCAATGTCAACATCTTTTCAGGAAATACAAAAATTATATCTATAAACTAATTTTAAAAACTCTAAACACATCAAAAACAGAGTCAGATTATCAAATTTAACAGGATTCAAAGTCATTTTAATAATACCATATTATTAATATGGCATTCTGCTCAGATATAATGTGCAAAGATTGATTATGATATAATAAATAATATAATAAATGAGTGCCGTTCCCTTTCTTGTCGCTGGTGGCGCTGTAGTCTTGCTGTTTTCCGGTCAGAACAGAAGAAGAAGCTGAACCTCGTGTGTCTGCCTGCTAGAGCGGTTCGACTGGATGCTGTGATTGACTGGGATCATAAAGCAGGCAGCAGATCATCGATTATCGATCAGAAATGACTAAAGTGAAGAAGGAGAAGGTTTCGGACGGAGAGGAAGCCGCGGCGGTGGAAGCGGGGGGACCCGAGCGGAGCTACGCCGAGCTGGTCGCTCACTTGAACTCCATCGCCCAGCCGCTGGCCTCCAGGAAGCTCAGCAAGAAGCTCTACAAGTGCGTGAAGAAAGGTAGGAAGTCCGGGAAAGGTTCTGCACGTTTCCGCGTCTCGGTTATCTGGTACCGGAAGTTACAGCTGCTGTTTGTGTTTGTTCTGTAGCTGCGAAGGGGAAGAACATCCGGCGGGGAGTCAAGGAGGTCCAGAAATACATCAACAAAGGAGAGAGAGGGTGAGTCCCAGGGGTCAGAGGTCATGTAGGCTGGCAGCTGCAGGGTGCTAACACTTTTGGAAATGTATTCACACCCTAAACATGGAAAACTTTAATAACGTCTGGTTCTGATACCAAATATTAATGGAGAACATCTGAAGCTCTGAGGGCTTCAGGGCCTAAGGTATACCTACCCATCATGCACTGGGGCTCAGGTGTGCTAACGCTGCTGCTCTCCCTGCAGTATCGTGGTTCTGGCCGGAGACACGCAGCCCATCGACGTCTACAGCCACCTTCCGGTCATGTGTGAGGACCGCAACCTACCCTACGCCTACATCCCGTCTAAAATGGTGAGTGGGACTAAACATCCAGTCCGATTCGGTTCGGCCGCTTTAAAGACCCGGTCCGGGCGGTCTGACCGTTGGGGAAGGAACCCGGTCCACAACCTGAAAGGTTCTTTCCACTTCTGCAGGCTTTTATTGTGAAATGTATGTTTATTTCTGACTTTTATTGTGAAAAGTTTAAAAGGAGGTTATTTGGAAAAGCACAAATTTTATTGAGGCGTTTTTTAAGATTCCTGATGTATTTTATTGTGAAAAGCTGGTCTGTTACGACTCTTATTTTGAAATATGCTGCTTTTACTCGACCTTTTCTTATTTTGGAGTGTAGTTATCTTCCTCTTACTTTGAAACATTTTTTTTTTCAGCATTAACTTTTAAATTTGGATTTAATTTTACATCTCACTTATAAAATACTGTAATCTTTGAAAGGGATGTGATTAGTTCTATTTGCTGCTCTTATTTATTGTTTTAAATGCTCATTTGGTTTTATTCTAATGTTTCATTGTAAAATACTGATGTATAGTATTTTAGATCCATTTATAAGATCGTTTTAGTTTTAATTAGGTATTTTATTGTGAAAAGCTCCTGACATCAGACTCTTATTTTGAAATGCTTTTCCCATTCTATAATTAAAATTTTGGTTCAAGTTCAGCCTAATTTATTCTGAAATACTATAATTTAGTGGTCTTACTGTGAAATACCTGATTAAAGGCCAAAACCAGTGATCAGCCGTTTCCTGCCGTTTTTAATGAAGCTGGTTTTGGCCTTTAATCAGTTATTTTATTGTGAAATGCTCCTGAGCTCATTTTGAAATGCATGTGCAGGATCTGGGCTCTTCCGCCGGTTCCAAGCGTCCGACCTGCGCCATCCTGATCAAACCGCACACCGACTACCAGGACGCCTACGATGAGTGTCTGGATGAGGTGTCACACCTGCCCAAACCGCTCTGAGCCAATCAAGACGCCGCTCATCTGAACTCAGCCAATCAGAAAGCCGCTCGTCTGAACTCAGCCAATCAGAACGCCGCTCATCTGAACTCAATCAGGAGTTCAGATGAGGCAGTTCGCCCTGATTTCTCCCAGAATCTCCTGTTTCTCTGCTGCGCTAGCAGTTTTCACCTGTTTCCAGTGTTTGTGCTAAGCTAATGATGGACTGAAGGACGCTGCCCCCTGCTGGACCCTGGAAGCCATGTTTCTAGTTTTTTATATTAAAAATGTTAAAACTGGAATTTCTGGAGTATTTTGTTTGAATAAAGATTATTCATAAAGTATTTTCAGGATAAACACTGCGGGAACTTGTTTTCTCTGGTTTCTCCTGTGCAAAAGTCTCCAACCCCCTTAATCTTTGTGAACCTTGGGAGGCAAATATTTTAAAAATTAACCAAATATTTTTATTTTTTATTCCCACAGAGTAAAATAATTAGTTCAATACAAATGTCACTTCTGTGTGTTTTGTGACAGATATTAAAAAACAGAGTTTTTGAACAGCTTTGTTTAAAACATTTCTTCCACTTTATGTAATATTTGGTTTTCTAAACAGAAAAATAATAAAACTATAATGGCTTCATTCATAAATGTTAACATCAACATTTTTAAGTGAGTTGATTTAAGAAAGTGCTACACTGTTGCAACAGCACAAAAAGCCCAATCATTCCATCAATATCAATTTCATTTAACATTTAAAAATCTTCTGTTTTCTTATGAGCTCTTTTATTATTTCTTAAAACTACATTTTTCTGCTCGGTTTGTCTTCTTAAATTGAACTTTTTTTTTTAGTTAAAAACCGTTTTTGTATCTTTAATATTTTTTTAAATCACTTGCAGTTCTGAGGTTCGGCCACATGGTGGCAGCAGAACTCGGTTTAAACTAAAGTTCTGTTTGCAGAACAAGTCCGATTTATTTTCATTCATTTATTATAAGTTTATTGTGACTTACCTGAGTTTATTTTTATGTATTTACAATGAACCTGACCTCCGGACTGGTTCTGTTAACTGGGCCGGTTCTGCTGCGGTCCGTTTGTCGAACCGTGAACTTTGTTCTCAGATGTTTTGAAGAGTCCGGGTTCTGTCAGTTCATATCCGGTTCTGAGCTCTCAGTAAAACCCGTTCTGAATAAACCTGTTCTGACTCACAGACCCTCTTCAGTTCTCGCTTTTATCTCCCACACCTGCTGGCCTGACCTTTGACCCCGGGACTACTGGGTCCGTTTGGCCCGGCCTGTTCCCGGCGGCTCCTGAACTGCTGCAGCAGCTAAAGGTTCCCCTCCTCCTTTCCGTTGCAGACCTGCCCGGGCTGGTCCCGAATCGACCCGAACTCAAACCCTCCCCCCTTCTCCACTCGTTGCCCGGGGCAACGGGAATTTTCCACTGCCGAGCCGGAGGGGAGAGAGATCCGGCTGTCAACAGGTAGCTAAGGGTCGGTTCCGTTAAACCGGGCCAGTGGTTCTGAAGTTTTATTTAGAACCTCAAAGTTCTGCCAGATCGTCTCGTGGTTCCGTTGGGTTCTGTTTCATTTTCCAGCTTTGTGTCGTTCGTTAAAGAGTTTGAAATGGGGCCAAAAGGTTCTGCTGACCCATAAACAGCTGCTCAGATTAAATCCATCCGGTGCTTAAGTTTGGTCCAATCATTTTGTCCTGCTGGTTCTGTTGGGTTCTGATGCGGTTTCAGATTGATAGGTCCATTATAGGTGTTAGAAGTTCTGGAAGGATTATTTGGTTCAGAAGGTTCTGCAGATGTTTCTGGTTCTTGAAATAATTTGGGTTGTTTAGTCTGAGAGAAGAAAAATATTCATTCAATCATTCAGTCATATTTCACTGAATGATTTATTATTAAATGTCAGTTCAAGTTAGCAATAAAAATAACCTGATTATTGCTTTTAACTTTTCACTGTGTGACTTTATTAGCACTACTAGTTTTATTTGTTCTTTATGATTAAATTTTAATCATTTTTACATTTATTTTTGGAAAATCAACTTTTTCTGTTTTAATTTCTATCATACGGTCTGTGTGATGTGTGTGTTCTGCTTCAACACACACACACACTCTGCTGCTGCTGTGTGTCTGTGCATGCGTCCTTGCGTGTGTGTGTGTGTGTCTGGGGGGATCAACCATCTAACTGCCAGTAAACAAAATTACTGCAGTTAGATGTGTGTGTGACATTTGCATAATGTCACACACACACACACACACTACCTTTCGGAGCCTCCAGGATGAACCAAACGTCTCAGCCTTCGTCTGTCTGACTCCTCTTCACCTCAGTTCATTATCTCTGACTAAAGAGGAAAAACGGACATAAAAACCAATCAGAACCAATAATCAGAACCGTGAGGCTCGGGTTTAAACCAATCAGAGTCCAGCAGAGTTTAACTCACTGCTGTGGAGTTCAACCATAATTAGGACACTAACTTTTCACTTCTAGTCTAAAACTAAGTATTTACTCCGCAAAAACACAAAAAATCACCAACTATTTCTGTTTTGCTTCGAGTGAAATTATCTTAGTTCACTTGAAATAAGATAAAACTAACTTACAAGCAAGATATATGAGCTTGTATGAGCTTAATATTACTATTGACTTAATATAGAATTTTTTTGGAAAGTACTAATAACTTATAACACGACATTTTAAACATATTATAACTGCAATAATCTGTCAATGTAATTAATACTTTAAGGAATTATTGACTTAAAACAAGCTCAAATATCTTGCTGAAAATATTCTATTTACATTAAAACTATACAAAAAACTACTTTTTGGAAGGATGTTGTGTTTTTGCAGTGAACCCTCATCTGTCTTCCTGAAAATATACTTTAAATTAGTTTCATTTGTTTTTCAGCTGAAGTTAATTTTAAGTTTTGCCTTATTTTAAGTGCACTGAGACATTTGCATTAGAATCTAGACTAAAATACTTGATAGGTTTTAGTGTTTTTGCACTGAAAATACTTTTAGAATAGAAAGAGTTCAACAGTAGCCAAGTGAAAGGTAATTAAGCCCATTTTATTTATAAGTACTTTAATGACAGTAAAACTGAACCAGCATCATATAAAAACATCAAAAATAAAACTAACACAGAGAAGATGAAACACAACTTGACAAACAAAATGGCTTCCATTCATTCTGGGTCACAAGCACAACAGAAGGGTTTTCAAAACAGTTTTTAAAATAAAATCAAATAATCAAAGCAAAATTCATATGAAAGAACATATAAAAGGAAAATAAAACATATAAAAACAGAATAAAGAATAACATTAATTCCTCTGTAATATAATTAACAGAAAACTAAAGATAGTGGTTGAAACAATATTTTAATTCAACCAGGAACAGTGTGTTGATCTCGTCTTCACCTCCCATTGTCACATGTAAATGCTGCGCGGTCTGTAAGCTGTGGCTGCGGCTGGGGGTATCACCGCGCCCGGGGGCGTCGCAGCAGCTGGCGGTAAACGAGCGGCACACTCTGGAGTCTGTGATCCTGATGCCGCTGATAGCTGCTGAGTGTCTGAGTGTGACGACGTGTTGAGTGTCAACACACGCCACACTTACGTGATGTTATCACACACACACACATACACACACACACACACACACCGGGCTGGCCTCTACAGAGCGCCGCTCTCTGATTCGGGTCCAATCAGAGGCTCTCCAGAACTTCAGAGTTCAGGTGACTTTCATTTATTCAATCCAAGTTTCCATTTTAAAAGTTCAGATATTAGCAGATTTATTGATGACTTGAAGTTTTTTGGTTCCACTGAAAAGAACTTTCTTTTTAAAGCTGAAGCTAATAAACCGGACCGGTCCGGATTGGTTTCTGAGGGAATAGTGGCTGGAAGTTTGTGTGATTTTTATATAAAATCAAAGAAACAAGGCTGATGAAAGAAAAATGCTCCCTGATCTACAGGAACACTCCGGAACCAGAAAGGATCATGTTTGTGTTTTTGACGGCGATCCGGGTCAGAAACGTAGTCGTCAACTAGAACATGAATTGGACCTTTCATTGAGGTACAATTAATAATCTGGATACAAACCTATTCAATACATTGGAATATTATTGACAAGCCCATTTTTCCAGGAACTTTAAAGTATTATATAGATTACATACAAATGGATGTTTGAAAGCCTTTATTTCTGTTTATGATGAAAACTTGACATTTAAATTAGAACAGCACATAAGACTAATAAAAGAAACTTTTAATACTGATGTGTAGACTTAATGAAAAGTGTGTTTAATACCTGTTCATAGGTTATTGTTTTAAAAGGATACATTTAATTTGACAAAGAAGATTAATTGGGACTATTATTATAATCTAATTTATCTATACTATGGGGTCCTGCTTCTAAAATACCAGCTAAATAGGCCGATGAAAGGAAGCTAGTTAGCTAGCTGGGACCGAGCTAAATATGTAGCTTGCTAATTATGTATTTCGTTTATAAACTAAATATGTAGCTTCAATCTAAATATTCTAAATATTTAGTTAGTACACTGCACATTTAGTTTGCAAAATAAACGTTTAGTTTGTTAAGCAAATATTTAGGTCAGAACTTTAGAACTAAGCTAGCTAAATATTTAGCTCCTTGCTAGCTAGATAGCTAGCTCCGTGCTAGCTAGATGATTAGCTCTGAATATTTTTATTTTGCATATTCAGCTTGAAGCTTGCTTACTATATATTCGGTTTACAAACTAATATTCAGTTTGAAGCTAAACATGTTGCTTGCCAATAAAATATTTATTTTGAAACTGTAAGATGTATAAATGAATGAACAACATGGTGAAATTATGACTTTGACAGGCTAAATAACTCAATTTGTTGCTGTTAATTTCTGTGTACCTTTATAATCGACAACCGTTTAGAAAAGTCTTTTAATTTATTATTATTTATCACTAGATTAATTCCTGAAGAATAACATCAATCATTTTCAGATGTTTTATTGTGTTAGAAACTTTATTTAATCTAAACGAAGTAATGGACACTTTTAACAGAACCAGTGACACCAGAACCACAGACAGAAACAGAAGCAACAGTTTTTAGGAAAATCAATTTATTTACAGTAATAGTTACAGTTTATGATTTTTAAAACACACATAAAACAATTAAAGTTGGACTGTAGACTTGTTTTTAATGGATATTTTAATGAATATCTGATTTTAAAAACAATAAAAATGAACACTTTTTTTTCTTTGTTTTTTTCTTTGTTCTAAAGTTGATCACCTTATTATTTAACTGGATAAATATAAAAGTGGAGTTTTTTCACTGGAGAAGCAGAAAGTCGAGCAGAGCATCACTGAAGAACTCAGAGAAACCCAGATCACAACCAGGATCCAGATCAGAACCGGGATCCGGGTCAGAACCAGAACCGGGCTCCATGCAGGCCTGATGATCGGCCAGGCAGGGGAGTGGGGGGGGAGTCCACTGGGCCGGGGGGAAGAAAGGAAGAGGAGGAATAGGAGGAGTGGAGTCTGGAACCAGGAAGTTCAGCGATGAAGAGGAGGAGTCGGAGTGAGGAAGAGTAGAGCTACTGCAGTGCATGCTGGGACATTTGGAGCTGGGCTCTGATGATGATGATGGCTTCTTGTCAGACTTCCTCTTCCTTCTGCGGCGGAAGCTGCCGTTGTCGAATCTCTTCCCGCAGTCTGGGTCCAGAGTCCAGTAGCTTCCCTTACCTGGGGAGGAAGAGGAGGAGGAGGAAGGTTACAGGAAGTGATGTCACATCTTACAGGAAGTGATGAAGGCGGGTGCAGACCTGGGTCGCCGTCGCCACGGGCGACCTTCCTGAAGCAGTCATTGAGCGACAGGTTGTGGCGGATGGAGTTCTGCCAGCCTGCCCGGTTCCGGTCGTAGAATGGGAACTGGGTCGACACGAAGCTGTAGATCTGGCTCAGCGTCAGCCTCTGATTGGGTGAGCTCTGGATCGCCATGGCAATGAGGGCCGAGTACGAGTATGGGGGCCGCACCGGGCCCAGCAGATCCGAGGAGCAGAACCAGGACCAGAGTGGAGCGGTGCCGTGGACCGGGTTCGGAACCGGCCACGGAAACGGAGTGGCGCTGGAGTAAAGGCTGCAGGTAGACCTGTCCAGATCCATGCTGTCTGAACACCTGCTGCTCACCTGGGCCTCTTATAGCCCCAAGCCCCGCCCCAAGCCCCGCCCATCCCCTACTGATTGGCTGTTGGGAGCAGGGTGGGTGGGGCTTAATTTGAATAAGAACAGGCGGAATATCTGCCCCGGGGGCAACAGGGTGAGACGTTAGGACCTGAGTCAGCCAGGGGGAGATTCTACTACCACAACTGGTCCTGGTTCTGATCCAGTCCTGACTCTGATCCAGTCCAGGTTCTGATCTGGTTCAGGTCTTACATAAAGTTTTACTCACTTCCTGAGAAGCTGTAAGAAATATTTAATCCCTGAAATCAGAACCAAGCTTTTCTGAAGTAAACAGAACCAGCTGGATCAGAATCAGGACGTGTTTGGACCAGTTTCTTTCAAAGTGTTTATCTGTTTGTTTATTAATCAGTTAATTTATCGGTTCCTTACAGTTGAATCGGTTCACTCCTCCAGGTGTTTCCGTTCCCAGGTTTCCAGTTGTTGACGTTTCCAGGAATAAATGTTGAAACCGGATCGGACCCGGAGACTTCCTGAAGACATTTTAATCTGCAGCCATCAGACAGAACCTCCGGGATCGGATTAGAACCAGAACCAGACGGTGACTTAGCAGGTTTTCTGTTTGCAGCAGAAACTGGGATCATATCAGGCTTTACTGGTTTCTGGGTGCCATCTTTAAAAACATGGCAGCTCAGTTCAGATGATTAATGAGGTCAAAGGTCAGCCGAATGACTCCTGCAGACTGAGGTCACTGTGGAACATACTGACCGCTCAGAGCGACTCCACACAACCCACTGAGCTCACAGCATTGAAAACAGAAAACAAGCGATACAGCTCTATAAATTTGTTTGATAAACTAAATGTAACAAATTAACTGAATCTTTAAAAGTTGGAGCTCCATTCTGTTTTTGGTTTCTCATCCTGTTGTCTTGTCTTCTTCTTTTGTTTATCTGGTGTGTAAAACTGGTCGAACATCCAGGATGAAGCCCTGAGGAACTCCACATCCAGACGTTGAGCTGCTGGATTTCTGTTCAAACATTTCCAGTTAAAACACACACAGTTCCCAGCTGATAAATGAGCTGCCAGTCTGTCAGCAGCGAGCGCTCAGAGTGGATTTACAGATTACCCCTGACACACACACAAACACACACACACACACACAGAGATCTTTAATTCATCTCCACCAGTCAGGCTGCAGCTAACGGATTCGTTATCTCATCACTTCCTGATCCGCTCAGGCTGCTGACGGTTGGAGGCGAGCATAGTAATCTGTGGAGGGAACAGTCAAAACATCAGCAACCAACCACTTGGTGTGAGGGGTTAGGGGGGATGAGGGGGTGTTACCATGGGAACAGGTAACTGAACACCTTCAACTGTCTCCAGATGTAAAATCCCCAACCAGCAAAGGAAGCTAATAAACTGAATGTTTTTACAGTGAAACTAAACCTCAAACTAAATTTTTTTTTCAAACTGATACTAAACGTTTCTAGCTTCATGTTTCTGAGCTAATTTTGATATTTGTGTGTAAATTTGTTTAATGGGGCTAAAACCGTCTCATTGCTGCCTTCTTTAGGTCGAACGGTGGTACTGCAGTTCCCCTGTTTGTTACATCACATCCTGTCCAGATTTTAAACCCGCGGTGCCCAAAGTCAGTCCTGGACGACTCCATGTTTTAGTTCTCTCCCTGGATCCAATTATGGCTCGTTAGAAGGCCTAAGAAGAACATTGACATGCTGAAAAGGTTGTTACTACCATCTGGGAGAGAACTAGAACATGCAGAATGCCGAACCTCCAGGATCCACTTTGGGCATCACAGTCAGATGCACGCCCCCTGGTGGTGAGTCAGGAGCTGGAATAGCGAGTGTGGAGAGCATAGATCGTCAGCGTTTCTCACAGCAGCTGTCAGGAGTCGCAATAAAAGTCTCCAAAATAGAAGAACTTTACCAACAGGGTATTTACTAGAAGTTAATGCTAATGCGCTATACAACACAGGATGCAGTTCTTGAACCTGACCACATGATGCTCAGAGTTCAGTCAGCCTGACTGAAATAAAACTCCAGAACTTTTCTGATGTTTCCAGGTGTTTTAATGAAATCAGCTGATGGCAAAACAACACATTTACAGTAAAAGAGAAGAACAAGAACAAGAAGAAGAGGAGGTGCACAGAAGCTCTGCTTTAGTTTTATAGTTTGTTTGTGGGTCCAAATGGAACAGAACCAACATAAGCTCTAGTATTTCTGAAGAATATTCTTAAAGGTTTAAAGGTTGAAACTGAAAAAAGAAAACAAAGCAACATGTGCAAAGATGGAGGACTTTCTGTTCATCATGCTCATCAGACCTTTGAACTGAACATTCATCTGAACCGGGTCCGACTGGAGCCGGCTTCGGTCTGGTTCAGTCTGTCAGGACCAGCTCTGCTCCAAATAGTAACCGGCCGGGTCCGACAGCAGACACTGGTTCTGGTGGCTGGAGCTCCGGTTTTTAGCATCAATGAGGACCAGAGGGGACTGGGAATAATGGTTGATGATGTCACTGACTGACGGGAAGAACTGGAGACACAAAACAGCAGTTAGAGCCAAGACCGCTGCCCCCTACAGGCTAAATTAAAAACTACATCAGAGCGATGCCCCCTACAGGCTAAACACTGAAACTGCTAACAGTCAAAGCATGGTAATGTCTCGTAGCATTAGCGGCTAACAGGCAGGTGTTAATGCATGTGGATTAGCTGCTTGTGGCTCCTGTCTGTGTCTCCAGAGGCCGTCGGTGGTTCTGACCTCCTGAGCTTTGAGTCCGGTTCCCAGCTGGAACTGCTGGCTGTGTTGCCGGATCTGGATGTTGTAGACTTTGTCCTGGTAGAAGACCATGAGGGTGAAGGGCTGGTTGGGCTGCTGTCGGGTGCTGTCCCTCACCAGGTAGGCCCCGTCCTGCGCACACACACACACACACACACACACACACACACACACACACACACACACACACACACACATTAACACCGGCTATCAGCTCATCTTGTAATCAGAGTCCTGATGCTGGATGGATTCTCACCCTCTGGACTTTCTTCAGGCATCCCTCAGCCTGCCCACGGCTCACCTTCCCAACGTACCAGTTTGGGTCCAGAGCCTGCAAACCAATACACACACACACACAATGCTGAAGCTGCTGAATGTCCTCAGCCCTGCAGAGTGTAATGCAACAGCATCCCCTGCTGCCCAACCAGGGTCTGAACAGAAAATTGTGATTTTTCTGGACTCCCAGCTGGTCGAGGTTTGGTTTTAGAGCTGATGGTGTCTCTCACCTCGCTGGCAGCTGTGGTAGGAGGTGGAGGACGGCTGGGCGCCGCAATGCTGCCTCTGTGTTCGGCCATAGCTGAAAGCAGACAGACGGCATTCAGCAGCCGGTTTCTGATTCACAGTAAGATCAGCTGGAGCAAACTGAAGGTTTTATTCAGATTCAACCAGAAAATGTTCGGATTCCTTCAGGTTTCTCTTACCAGACTGCAGCTTGTGAGGCAGAGAGGCTGAGGAGGAAAAACTGCACAAAAATATAACCCTGTTAGAGATCATCTGAGGCAGAAACATTAAAGGTCCAGGAAAAATAATATTTTATTACATATGTGTTGAAACTATCACTTTAATATGTTTAATATGAGACAGATAATCAGTGAAAACAATCTTCTCTGCTTCTTCCAAGTTACTAGAAACAACCAATCAGAGCCAAGAGGCGGGACTTAGCGCTGTCAATCACCTCATGTACACACCGCTTAACTAGCCGGTCAACACTAAGGCCAGTTAGTATAGCAGATAAATGGTTTTCATGTAATGGTGAGTTGTTTCTCCACCATTAGCACATTTAGCAGTGACTACATGAGGTTGATTGACAGCACTAAGGCCCGCCTCCTGGCTCTGATTGGTTGTTTTTGGTCGGGAGGAGGTGGAGCTGAATCTGTCTCATAAACTGTCATGACATGGTGACAGTTTTAACATCCATGTAAAAACAAATTTTTTATAAAAGTTACTGCAGCTTTAAGTGGTGAGCCTCCAGGGCCGCAGCCGACTCCCCAGGGCCCCGGGCACACTGCTCCGCACTTTACTCTGATTTCATTTCTTTGTTTAAGCAGGTGAGTTATGAAGAACAAACTTTTATTAACGACCTTCTGATGAGACGGGTGAGTAGAAGTGAAGGCTGACCTGGCGGCATGCTGCGGCAGGGGCCCGGGGATCCCGGGGCGCGGCGGCAGATTCTTGTGAAGAGGGAACGTGTTGTGTTTAGGGACTGTGGGAAAAGAAGCAGAAGGAGGAAGCTTCCTTTATTCGCTCTGCGATGCTTCAGGATTTCAAACTGGACAATGGAACTCACTATCTTGTGTCTGCTGAAGAGAGAAGAGAAGAAAGGGTCAAAGGTCAGTCTCCATCAAAATCTGTTCTATGTAGCAGTGAACAATCATGTTTCATCTAACATGAATCAATAAAAACCGGAGCAGCTTACCTCTCTGTGTCCATCGAACCTGAAAACAAAAATATCAAATTATTATCAGGAACTTTCTGGAACCAAAAGATTCAACCTGAACCACAGAGGACCTGCTAGGGGGCGCTACTCTGGCAGAGGAGTTGCTCCTGCTGACGGAGGAAGAGGGAGGAGGAAGAACTGGAGGTTTGGACCTGGGCGGTTCCGATGCGTCCGCTGGTGTCCTGTGAGGACAGACACATTAAACTCCTGATGAGCAGCTAAAGCTAAACATGAGCATCTAGAACAGGAAACATTCAACACTTTGCAATCTAGACTAGAAGCTGCTGCTGTTCACTTCCTCCTGCTGGTTCTGCCTTCGTCGTCTGTTTTCTCTCTGCATTGCGAGCGCATCGCTGCAACAACATTGTGACTGAAGTTCACTAACAGTCAACAGGAGCCGGAGTTTAACGTTAAACCTGAACTGTTTGACGTAAGCGGCCATGTTTAACGCCTGTGATCCAGACGTAGCTGTAATCTTTAAAACTGGTCTTCAGTTTTATTTATAGACTTTTTCTATAAAAAAAAAAACTTGAAAACTTTGATGACTACA